CTCTCTCTTTAAAAAAAAAAAAAAGACAGCCTTTTGTGGAGTGTTTGAAAACCTTCCCCCACCACTAGGGATCTGTGTGACCATGAAGGCAAACATCAGAATCTTGCTTGCCTGCCTGCCAATATCAGTTGTCCTGAGCATCTCCTCCTCTGACTGAGTCCCCAATCCTGCCTCAAGGTGAGACTGTGGGGTGATCACTGCTCAAGCCACACTGGGGAGCCATCACTTAGACCAGCAAGAGATTCCAAGGGGCAGGCTGATGCCCCAGCCACCTCTGCTGGGCACCTCCTTAGCCTCTGCTTCATTTCCCAACCTCTCTGATCTCCGGCCCTCTGTATGGCTGGCTTTGACAAGTCAGAGCCCAAGGGGCCATCCCTAGTCACCCCATTCCTTGTCTTCTCCAAGAGGCCATCCCTAGACACCCCATCTAAAGTAGGCCTCCCATTCCACTATCCAGTGAACCCTCGTGATTATTTCCTTCATACTCTGAAATAATTTTCTTTGCTTCTTCGATATTTAATCCACTAGAGGTGGGAGCAGACTTGTCTGTCATGTTTACCCTCTTTGCTCTATTATCTAGCACAGTGCTCAGCACACTGAAGGTGATCCAAAATGATGGATGAATGAATGGATTGGTGGATGGATAGACAGATGAATGAATGAAATAGCTAAGTCTTTCCAACTTTAATCCCAGATCAAGGGAACATAGATTTCCTGATTCAAGAGAGAAAACTCCATAGAGGGAGTGCTGTCTCAAAAGAGAGGGGATGGCTAGGGAAGGGGTAGGATGGAGGCTCAGGGCAAACTGGTTTGTTTAATAGTTCAAAAAGGTTCAGGACTCTTGAGAAGAAGTAATTATTTGGGGGCGGGGAAGCTTTCCCTTGTCATCCAAATACAAATTGTTTATATGACAAAAAAAAAGGATTACTGTACATGCTCTCTGAAGGGCATTTATCACCCTCAATATCCTCCTTCTCCTCCATGATTATTTTCGGAAAATGTTCCTCCCTGAAAGAATTAGCCCTGGGCAGAAATAAAACTTCATGATTCAGGATGTTTGTATTGGTGTTTATATTGTTTATATGACAGTATAGATGATATAGATGTACATGTAGGTGAACTTATAAATCTACATATATTTGGTAATGGGGATTGAATATAGGGCTTTGTGCATTATAAGTATGCATTCTTCCATGGAGCATACCACTAACCCAGCATATATTTATTTGGTCATGATCTGTATGCCCTGCTAAAATATAACTCCATGGGGGCAAGGAGCTTTCCTGTCTTGCCCAGTGCCCTCAACATAGCCTGGCACTTAATAGGTACTGAAAATATATTTTATTCTGTGTGGTTGCAATCTTCAAACCAAATTTAATTCTTGTCTCTCCATTGAGTGCTGCATAGTGGTTAAGAACATGGGCACCTGAGACGGTGGCTTGGATTACAATCCTGGCTCATCCACTTGAATATCTGGGTGACCTAGGAATGTGGCTGCATCTTTTTGAACCTCAGTTTTCTTAAATGTAAAGAGGAAACAATCCTAGTCCCTATTGTGAAGTGTGTTGCAAGGGTTATAGGAAGCCAACACTCAATCAGGGATCAATAATATTGTTGTCAGAGCTCAGGGTAGAAATGATTTTGATTTCCTGTCTCCTGGCAGTAGTTCATGGGTGAGACTGCTACCTAGTGACTGCAAGGAGAATGAAACTTTCAGCCAGGGTTCACCTTTGGTGGTCATTACTGGGACTTTTTAGACTTTTTGTACTGGGGTTTGAACCCAGGAGTACTCTACCAAGGAATACATCCCCATTCCTTTTTAAAAATATTTTGTTTTTAGTTGTAGATGGACACAATATCTTTATTTTATTTATTTATTTTTATGTGGTGCTGAGGATCAAACCCAGTGCCTCATATGTGCTAGGCGAGCGCTCTACTGCTGAGCCACAAACCCCAGCACGCTCTGAGCCCTTTTTATTTTTTATTTTGAAACAGGGTCTCATTAAATTGCTTGGGGCCTCACTAAGTTGCTGAGGCTGGCTTTGAACTTGCAATTTTTCTGCCTCAGCCTCCCAAATCGCTGGGATTACAGGTATGTGCCACCTAACCTGGCTCCCTGGGGCTGTTTAAAATTAAGGAATACTGTATTTGAGAGGGACCATGGAATTGCAGCAAATAATTTCCACGAGCCTAAATACTACATGGAAAGTAAGAATAGAATATTTATCACCGATCCTGGGAGATGGAATCCAGGTTGGGTGGTCTTGCATTTTAATATTCTGAGAAGCAATCCTAGTGCCATCAAAGTACCTTCAAGGTATCAGAAGCAACAGCACATCTTCATCTCAAGCCTAGTGTCTGCCTCCCTGAAGATGCTGCATGTGCCCCGGGAACCCTGTCCACATGGTATTCAGGTCTGCCACCCTCTCATGGGCCACTGAGGAGGTTCATGGATAAGAGGGCCCTGGGGGTCTCACCAGTGTGTGGTGACTGGAACCAAACCACAAAGGGCTCCCTGGAAAACACATCTGTATCCCCATCCTGATAGTCATGGTAGAGGTACTTCTCCTTTACAGACACCAGCTTTTCCCTAGAAAAGAGAGAAAAAACCAGTCTATTGTTTGCTTACTTTGAAGAAGTAGAGATTTAGGTCCCCTTAGCTTTCAGAGGAGGCTCCAGCACTGGCAGCATTTTTTGCCTGAGAACAAGGCTGAGTCAACTCTTCATATTGCCTGGGCCCTGGGGAGTTGAAGATCTGGGCTGTGCTAGTCATCTGGGACTCCCACAAGGGATGTGACAGAAATGACTAAAGAGAAGACTATGAAGTTCAGGAGTCAGTCATGTTGGGCAACTCTGGTTTCCAGCCCCAGGCCAGGACTTGACCATGAAAAATAAAGAACTGTCCCAGGCAACCATCAAGTCAACCAACAAATTAGGTGTTAGAAAGCTGCTCATGTTTTCCAGTTTGAAGATTTAATGTTTTGTATCCATCCCAATTTTGATAGCAATTATTTTTATTGATATTGAGAATTGGTTAGAAATCAAAATCTGGTTTTGAAGAAAAATTAATTTTTGACTAAATTTGTGTTCACAGTTTTAAATAGAACCAGACAGCATAGATTATACTTACTTGTAGATAAAGGCATACTGTTCTTTATATGTGTTTCTTCCAAGACGAGAGCTAATCACATAGCTATATGTAATGTCTCTCCTTGAATTTCTAGAAAACATAAAGATTTCACACTGTATCTTAAAGAATGAATATCCCCACCCACCCCAACCCCCCAAAAGAATGAACATTCTGTGCTGCACACATTCTCCTCACTCCAATCTGCCTTCAAATTCCCTATGGCATTGTGTGGAAGAGCTACCAATCATTATAGCTTTTCAGTCTGATAAGAAGAGCCACCATTGATTGGAACTGTGATCTGCCAGACCTTTACAGCCTTTGTTTTTGGGTTTTTTTTTTTTTTTTTTTTTACATTTTATTATTTGTTGTGCTGGGGATCGAATCCAGGGTCTCGAGCATGATAGGTAAGCACTTTACCACTGAACCAAGCTATATCTTAGCCTGGCCCTTATTTCTTAGCCTAAGAAAGTAGGTACTATTGTTAACCTCCCCTTTTGTAGTTTATGAGTACAAAACTGGGATTTGAACACAGATCTGACTCATTCCCCAACTTACAAGCTGTGGCCTGCAACTGTTGAGACCATAGGTAATTCAGGCTGGCACAGAAAACCTGCTGGGCTGCCACCCATCCTTTCTGTTGGAGTCAACCTTATCACGTGGCCTTGTCTGTGGCAGCCCCTAAGCATTCATCACATGTGAGAAAATTCTCTCCTCTGAAACTCAGGCATTTTCTCCCAAGTATGGGGACTGTGATTTCAAGTCACTCTTGTTCATGTCCTGGAGATGGGAATATAGTCATGACAGCCCATGAGCCCCACCTCTCGCCTACATCGGGGAAACTACTCCTTGTGCCTTTGTCAAACCAGCTGGTGACTCCACTTTGGGCAGAGCCTGACACAGTTTCACTCCATCTACCCACGAAAAGATCTAGGACCTGTCTACAACTGTGGCAGAGTCTCAGTGTCCATTGGGAAAGAACAGAGTGACTATTTAGAGCCAACTTGGACTCTGCAGAAATTCTGGTGCTTCAAAGACATGTTCTAAGCCAGACTCCGTAATGGGGCCTCAGGAGTGAGGATGGGTTCTCAGTTCAGAAAACTGGCTCTCTCCTGAATCCAGCCTGTCAAGGCCTGAGTAGCAAATTGTATGCAGTGACTCAGCTGTGAGGTGACTAAGGCTCTTCCTGCCTATGGAGGACAAAAAGATAGCCTCGGTGACTGTTAATTACAGTGACAGAGTGTACTCTTAACATGCGGGAGGCCCTGGGTTCCATTTCCAGTGGGGTGGGGGGAGAGAGAGGAAAACAAAAGGAGCGAGGGGAGTTGGAATCCATGGCACAGTCAAGGCAGGTTGGGGAGCACTAGTGGTAGCACTAGGTTGACTGTGGGGAGATGCCTGGAGTCCACCTGTACCCCACACTCCTGAAAAATGACCGGGGCCACTCCAAGGAAGACCGAGGGGGCTAAGAACAGAGCACTGGTTTTGAGTCTAACATGATTTGGTTTAAATGTAGGCTCAACCATTTACTGTCTGGATGACCTTGGGCAGGACTTTCCTCTTTGTGCCTCAGTTCTGTCAGCTATAAGGGAAGCAGTAATAGTTCCCACTCCACTGGGTTCTCTGGGGAGTAAATGAAATAGCACACATAAACAGATTGGCAGCTGCCTGACCAGGAGTTGCGTGTGACCCCTTGGACGTCACCTGCTATTTATAACTCCTTTTCATTTAGTAATTATAGACACCACTGGTACTTACTGATCATGCCTTTGTGCCTCATTTGGGGGAAATTAGGCACAAAGAAGTAATTCACCCAAGGTTGTGGCACAGCCAAGATCAAAATCCAGGTAGTCTGAGCAAAACATGGGCTCCTAACCCCTATGAGGTGTCTCTGTCTCTACCTTTCAAAGATCAGATCCAGAAACAGAAGACCTGGTGAGACTAAAAACGATACGCTTATCTGGACTATTTTCAGATAAGAAACTAGGGCTAGAGAAGGGTCAGGGCAAGTCTAAGAGGCCCTGTGGAAGCAAGAGAACATTCCTAGTTTTCCCCTACCGATCAAGTGAGTCCAAATTGACCCTTCCTTGCTAAAGAACAATGTGAGTTTTCCTAACTATCAAAGTCTAATAATGGCCAGATGTTTCTGTTTGTTAAAGCACAGTTTTTGGGCTTTTATGTATATTTGAGAAATTTCATAAGAAGGGGGAAGTGTAACATTCTTATTGGAAAATGTAGAAAAATTACTCTTAAATTGCCTATAAATTTGTACCCTAAAATAGTTACTGCCAATATTTGCTGAATTTCATTTGAATCTTGCTTTTTAAAAAACAATTGAGAGAAATCGGGTATGATGTTGCACTCCCGTAATTCCTGCAATTCAGGAGGCTGAAACAGGATGATCCCAAATTTGAGGCCAGTCCCAGCAATTTAGCAAGGCCCTAAAGAACTTAGTGAGACCCTGTCTAAAAATAAAAAAGAAAAATGGCTGGGAATGTAGCTCAGTGGATAAGCACCTCTGGGTTTAATCCCTGGTACCAAACAAAACAATTGAGAGAGCATGGTACCCATTGTGTACTCTTGTTTGTTGCTTAGTCTTATTATTTATTTATAAACATACCCATTATATTAGAAGTTTTAAAAAATTAAGGCACGTCAAGCTGGAGGTGTAGCTCAATGGTAGAGCACTTGCCCAGCATACACAAGGCTCTGGGTTTGTGGATTTCAATACTATAATAAATAAACAAAAAATTAAGGAACATCAGAATCACTCGGAAGCTTGTTAAAATACATATTCTCTTTCACAGATATTCTTATTCATTGGGGTGGGGAGCATGAATATACATTTTAAACTCACTTTGGGGTGGTCACTTGGGTAGGTTTGGGTAGGTTCAGTTCTCATGGTTTGGAGAAGTGTCCTCTAAAAGCCCAAGAGTCGAAGGCTTAGTTGCCAACCTGTTGAGCTATCATGATGTATGGAACCTTTGAGAGGTGGGGCCTGGTAGGCGGAAGTTAGGACACTGGGAGTATGCCCTTGAAGGGGCTATTAGAACTCTAGTCCCTTCTCTTTTCTCTCTTTCTTTGCTAGCCTGCTGCCATGAGGTCAATAGGCCTCCCCAACCACACATGCCCACCATCATGTTCTGCCTTACCACAGTCCCAAAAGCAATGCAGCCAACTAACCATGAGCCAAAACCTTCAGAATTGTGAGATGAAGTAAACCTTTCATCTTTATAAATTGTTTATCTCAGGTATTTGATACAGTGATTGCAAGCTAACAAGTGAGTTGAATCTGCTACTCATTCAGAAATAATATAAACCATAAATATCAGCTAATGTCATTTAAAACTATTTGAGGAAACTACTGTTTTTGTTGCTAATATTTTTTAGTTATAGATGGATGCAATAACTTAATTTATTTACTTTTTTGTGTGGTACTGAAGAGTGAACCCAGTGCCTCACACTCTAGGCAAGAGCTCTACCACTGAGCCACAACCCCAGCCCCTGTTGCTTTTATTTTTAAATTATAAAAATCAAATTATACAGAAGTAATAAAAAGTAACTGTTCTCCATTCCTTAAGTGACCCATTCCTTTTCAATCACGCCCCCCTGGAGCTATTAACAGTCTGGAGCTCCCCTTCCAGTCTCTTCTGTGCTCTCCCAAACACAAATTTGCCCTTATTCGTGGAAAATATAACATGGGGTCTAGAATGGGTTGCTGTACTTACAGATCCAAACTTTGTATTTTCAATATATTTCAGCTATCTTTTCATGCTAGAATATTACTTATTTTGTAAGCATGTTTTTTTTTTTAGTACTAGGGACTGAACAGGAGGTGCTTTTCTATTGAGCTATATATCCCCAGCCCTTTTTATTTTATTTTGAGCCAGTCTCACTACTGCCCAGGCTGGCCTTGAGCTTGTGATCCTCTTGCCTTAGCCTCCTATGGAGCTGAGATTACAGGTATGTATAATCATGTCTGCCTTGTAGTAGGTGGATTTTTTTTTTAACAGTTGCATGATGTTCCAGCCTGAAAATACATCATAATTGTATTTATCTTACTTCTATTGTTAACATTCAATCTTTATAACAGAACTTCTTAGCTCAGAATCTTGTTTTCATTTCTGTATTAATTCATCACCTATTCCCCTTGTTTTATTTTATCATATTAAAACCATCAGGCAACAGTTTTAGGACCATGGCTAAGAGAGTAAGAAGTCTGACCAGCACTGGCCATCTGATTTTTATGGTCAGAATAAGTGCTGGCTCTCACATCAGTTTCAGACTTTCTTCAGAACCTCTGTCCCTTCCCCCTTGTATTTACCCGTTCAGCTTATCCATCAGCATGGGACAGATCCTATTGTTGCTGTCCTTGATTTCCATTAAGAGTATAAGGTCACAGCGTTTGATGACCTGCAGAGAGAGAATTCCCAGAGGGTTGAGACCATTTACTATAAATTATAAAACCTTTTATTAGACCCTTATTGTGTTTTGAGTATTACATTAATGCTTATTAAAATAATTTCTTCCCTGAGTTAAATGAAGGACTCTGTAAAGTCAGTGCTTTTATTAAGTTCATTTTTGAGATAGGATCTCCCTGTGATGCCTAGGCTAGACTTAAACTCCTGGGCTCAAGTGATCCTCCTGTCTCAGCCTCCCAAGTAGCTGGAACATAGGCACAGATACAGTTGTGCCCAGCGGGTTTTTGGTATTTTTTATTTTTATTATTTTTTGTATGTCAGTTTTAAAGATAATGAGACTGAGGTTCAGGGAAAGTCAGATTAATTACACAGCCACCCAGTTGGAAAGTGGCCAACACAGAGTTCGAACCCAAGCAATCCAGCCCATAATCGTGACCCCTGTACATCCTACCTCTTGGCTTTGCTTGAATAATTCCAATAATAATGGTAACAAATACTTATGCAGCCCTTGATAATTAAATATACCAAGCTGGGTACTACAGAAATTAAAAGATATAATGTTAAGAGTTAAAATTTATCATGAACCTTCTTAGTCTCACAACAACCTTATGAAATGACTGGTTATTATTCTACTAAACAGGTGGAAAATAAGCTCAGAGTGGTTGAGTGACTACCTAAAGCCACACAGCCAGTATAGATGGGAGATTTGACCTCAGATATATGACTACAAAGTCCACCATGCTAACCTCTTAAAATAAGGCTCTGCTGTCAAAGTCTTATAGTACAGTGAGAGGGACAAATGCAAACAACTAGCAATAATGGGAGGAAAACAGAATTTGTGCTGTGGGAGGTGTTGGGGAATAGTGAATTGCTTCTGCCTAGAGAATCAGGGAAGGCTCCTAGGGGGAAGTAGCATTTGAAAAGTCCCTGATGGTGAGAAGGAATTCATTGGAAAATTAATATAAGAGAGATCTTTCAGGCTGATCAACAGCTTTTATCCAAGGTGCAGATCAAGCTTGCACCGCTTGGTGACCTCACAGGCCTTTCTGTGAATGGGATCCTGGTGACTTGTTGCTCAAGGATAAGGCACCACTAATGTAATTTTGTCCTCTTACATGGCCACCAAAGAACATGAAACATGAACATCATGTCACTGTCCCTCTATTTCCACAGCATATGCTTTAATTCTGTCTTCAACGGGTAGAGCATGAAGAGATAGCAGCACCCTATTGTCTAGATTGCCCTGTGACCAGGGACTCAGCCTTTAAGAAACTGGGGTTAAGAACCATCTGTGTATTAACTGAGGAGGAAGATTGTGTCCCAAGCTGGGATCCTTCTATCAGCAAGGCTTGAAATCCATGGCATTAGCTGCAAAGGGATTAACGGGCTGGGTGCCACTGGTCAAGCTACCCTGCTGGTTTAGCCACTGGCAACTGCCACATCTTTCTGGAAGAGACTTTAAAATGTATATTTTCTTTGATTCAGTTTTCCCACTTTGAAGAATATCTTCTATTATAAGGAAATATCCACTACTTCTCTGCACCTCATCTATAAATTGGGATGAAAACAATCTATCCTTTACAGGGTTGCTAAAGGGTTAAGTACTTAGAATTTTGAACAGCACCAGGCATGTAGGAGGCACATAGTAGATTATTATGATTACTTGTGGAGATCAAAGAGGAAGATGCACTGCAAAAAAAAAAAAATTGGGAACAACTTAAGCATCCCCAAATAAGAAAGCATTCAATTTAAGGTGTTACAAATATCAGACAGAGCATTATGTAATATTAAGTCATGTTTTGGGACTGCAGAAATAGCTTTGTGGTAAAGTGCTTGCACCTAAGTCATGTGCAACACCCTGAGTTCAATCCCCAGTACTATAAAAAGGACATTTGGAAGCAGGGTTTGTTTGTTTCGCCTTTTGCTTTGTTTTGTTTTGCTATTGTTGTTCGTTGGTTGGTTTGTTTTTATCTGGGATTGAACTTAAAAGTCATCTTTTAGAAGAATAGTACCATTGCAGGGAGGAATTTGTGGGGAGGAGATGATGGCCAGATTTTATTTTAGGACATGACAGGTACATTCAAAACTTATTAGACAGAAGTTAAATGAGTTGTCCTATATAATGAACCTAATGCTGTGGCTGGCACACAGTGAAATCTTCATAAAAGGTAGTTTTTATTACTGAATCACTAAATTTTCATTGTTACCCTTTGAAGTGATCTTGTTAATGTCTCTACTATATAGTTGGCTACTCTGAAGCTCAGTGAGGTTTTGTAATCTGAACACCAAAGGAATATGGGATAAAGGAACATCAAACTTGAGCCCCTTCTTGACCACTATGCTCAGAAGCCAAGGAGATCAGCATGTACTTGTGATAGCTCTTTCTCAAAGAGCAAGGTCTTTTGGGGCACAGTGGCACACATCTATAATCCTAGTGACTCAGGAGGCTGAAGCAAGAATATAAGCTCGAGGCCAGCCTCCGCAATTTAGTGAGTCCCTAAGCAACTTAGTGAAATTGTCTCAAAATAAAAGATAAAAAGGGCTGGGAATTTACCTCAGTGGTAAAGCACTGCTGGGTTCAATCCCCAGATCCCAAAACAACAACAACAAAAAAAAATTCCTTTTTTGTGTGACCTATTGGCATTGGTACAAAGCAAACATAGGCCATGAGTTCAGTCTCCCTTTGCTGAGAGAGAGAGCTCAGCCTCCAGATTTCCTGTTTACAATCCATGTGATGCTTAACAAGCACTTCTGAGCCCCACATCTCCAGCTGTTACTAATTTCTACTTCCCTTGGCTGGTCTCCTTGGTATCTCCGGGAATATTTCTTATAGACAAGAATCTACACTGCAATGAGCAGTAGCTCAAGAGCCTATTTTCAGAATTCTTCTCAGTATGGAACCTGTAATTTCAGCCAGTGGGCCTTCATTCATCCATGTATGTATCCTCCCACTCCCACCCATTTCTCCATCTATTGGTTCATCCATCTAACTAAATTTCATTATGGGTCTGCTGTGTGTCAGAGCACATGCTAGTCCTTAATTTATTCACAAATTTATCCCCAGCTCCTGCTGTAGCATCTGGCATGAGTGAAAGAAAGACAGGAAGGAGGAGAGAGGGAGAACCACTCTAGAACCAGTTGGGGCAAATTCATGAAGCACACATTATCTTTTCATTTTTAAATATTCCTTGTAGCATTGAAAAAATGGGAATTATTTCCCTATTTATTTTTTTTAAGAAATAATTTTGTTGGGCTGCAAATATAGCTCAGTGATAGAATTCCTGCTTAGCACATGTGAAGCACTGGGTTCACTCCCGAGTACCATAAAAAAAAAAGTTTGTGTTGTAATTTTTTCTAATAGTAAAAATAATGGTGCTTTTTGTAGAAAGTCTAGAAAATTCAGAAGACCGAAGATTGTAAAAGTCACAGATGACCTGAAACCCCACCACCCAGACTTTTCTCATGATTTCTATGCTTATTTACAAGATTGCCAACATAGTGATTAACCCATTGGTTCTAACTGTAGGCTTTGAGTTAAATGGCCTTGGGGTTCATGTCTTGACTCAGAGTCACCAGCTATGTGACCTTAAGAAGTTCACCTAACCTCCCTGAAAGCCCAGATTCCTTATTTGTGAACTGGGAAAAATAATACCCTTCCTATGGGAATTAAAAGACTCCCCATAGGAATTAAAAGACATAATGTATATAAAATGCTCAACCTAGTCCCTGACACAGAGCTAGCCACACACAGCCCTTTAAATTTTCAGCAAACAGTGGTGCCATTTATCATATAGTTTTATTCTTGCCTCTCTAGACTAAAATTATATTGTAAGCATTTCTCCCACTATGATTGAATATTCAGTTTTCAAATACAGTGTTGACACATTTTCCTTACTCCAATTTCAGACTAGAGGATTAGGAAAAAAATGTATTTCTCCTGGTTTCATCTCCTCGGGAGAAACCTGCAAGGATGAGGGCCCCAGAGCCAAGCCTTGAAACTCTTGAGATTTCCCTGACTAAAGCCAAATTCCTGACTGTTTATAGGAAAGAAGTGAGAATTTAAAGGGCTGTGTGTGGCTAGCAAGGATGGAATTGGGCAAGGGGTGTCATGATTGGGCCAGGGTAAAGGGGAAGGGACAGTCTGGAGGACTCTAGAAATATCATGGACAGAGTAAGGCTCATGAAATCATACTTCATGTCTCTAACCAGGGAGCAGCATAGCATGGTGGGGAAAACCCTGTGTTCTAGCCCTCACCTTGCCACATATGTGCTTCACAACCCTGAGCAATTTACTTTGTCTCCCTGGGCTCCTGGTGCCTTAACTATAAAATGGGCCTAACAACTAGAGTAGTTGGGAGGCTGAAATTGGATACTACCTATTAAGGGCCCAGCACATCAGAAGCACTCAGAAACCATAATTATCATGTGCAGTAAGCTCTGGGAAGAGGAAGACAGTGCCTTCCATGTCCACTGTCCCACCTCCAGTGCCTTGGAGTGTCTACCACATCATCTGCCTTCAGTGAATATTTGTTGGATGAACAAGCTGTGCACTGTAAGGGCACAAACTGAAGAACATAAGCAGAAGCAGGTTTTCCTGGGCAGGGTGTAGCATCTGGAAAACTGCCCATGGTAGGGGAGGGCAAACCCAGATGGAGAAGACGGCCTACCTCATTCTTCAACCTCCCAGTAAAGGTGAGAATGACAATGCGGTTATGGTGAGTAACCTCCAAAGTGACAAGTCCATAAGAGGAGTAGAAGAGGCATCCATCCCAGCTTACATGGGTGAGTTATGTGACTGCATCTGACGCAGACTCTTCCCCACTGGCTATGGAAACCTAGAGAGTCACTTCATCACTCTGAGCTTCAGTTTTTTCAGTTAAAGTGGGGGAAATGCCACCTATGTCATAATATTAAATAAGAATATAACTCCTGGCCTGTAATAGGTGCCCAGTTGACAGATCCTGAAGGCAATACTATTTTGAGTCCCTGGCA